TAGATGATACTCTGCTTTTCTGCATATACATGTGTGTGTGGACATAATTACTAGAAACAGTGACATGTGTGTTTTATGTTGTAGATTTGTTGAAGTTATATTTTGGACTACAGTTTGATTTCTTAAAATTGTAGGATATTACATGGATTAATGGATTAGGATATATGGATTAATGTCATGAAAGAGTTATTTTATGTTGGTTGTTTGGTTGGTTGATTTTGTTTAGTGGCATTAGGAATTTTTAAGCTAATAATGTTTCCATGTGATATAATGTTCCTTTACAAAGCTGGCTATTGTCCTCCTTGGCAAAAAATATTTTAAGACCAAATTAATAGAATTACCACTGATTTCTAAAGAGGTTAATCCAATAGAAAATTATTTCATCATGAAAATAGAAAATAGATATCTCAGAAGCAATGAAAAAACTAACCTAAGAAATGTTAAAACAGAAACAATTGAAAAGTTAACAGAATCAATGAATGAAAGTTTTGTGATGTACGGTGGTTGTTAATAATTAAGTATAACTCAAGACTTCAATGTTAAATAAAACAGTATTTAATTGCAATGGCAAATAAAATACTTAACAAGAACAAAGAAGTAAAAGTCAACCAAAGATAATTAAACATTTTAGTGAATACTCAATAGACACTCAACAATAACTAGAGTCAGTAGCCTGACATCACTATTTATACACCTGGTGCAAAACATATATTCATAAGTCCAGAGTGTCATACTCAAACTTCAGTGTTAGTAGTTACTCATTTTCTTTCTCTGTGACACCCCCCCTCTTTTTGAGATGAGATCTTTGGGGTTTCTATTTCTTCAGCTTCAGTTCAATATTCAAATGTTCCATTGCTGTCCTTTTTCTTTTACTGTACTTAATTTCTGGTGGCATGGGTACATCAAACATGTCATACACTATTTCCATCGGTACCTCTTTTCATGGACTTATTAAATCAGTGAATCTCCGTTTTAACTAATTAAGGTGTCACTTATGTTCCCACCTTTGTCCATGTACCATGTGTGTCATTTTTTCAATCCATTTTTTTTATCATGCCATCTTTCCAAAATTCTTTTCCACATTGGTACATTTTAAAAAAAAAAACATCTTATCACCAGGTGTAAAATATTTATTTATATTATTTTGGTTCCTTGATGTTCTCACCTTCCATTCTGGTAGTAATTTGTTAAATACGGACTTAATCTTCCTGGTGAAAATCATTTCTGCTGGCGGCATTACAGACATAGTGTTTGGGTTTGGCATTATTCTGAAAATGCTCAAAAATTGCTTTGTAACATTACTTCATCCATCTCCTCCCCCTCTGACTTTTTTAGTGCCCTTTTAAAAGTATCAACAAACCGTTCAGCTTGTCTGTTACTTCTTGGATGATGAGGGGGCATTGTAATGTGTTCTATTGCAAATGATTTACAGAAACCCTCAAATTCACTAGACATGAATGGTGTGCCATTGTCTGTAATCATAGTCGGGTAGTGAAAATCTTGTGTAAGAAAATTAGTGACTGTGGCAGTCAGTTTTCTACATTTTAATATTTCTGGCCATTTAGTGTAACTATCTACCACAACTAGATAATATGCTCCATTTAATGATCCTGCAAAGTCCATGTATATTCTAGACCATGGAATATCAGTTTTTAGCCAAGGTTGAAATTTAATCCACATGTTTTTACTAAATTTTCAACACCTTGGTCCATTTTCAGCCAATACATATCATGCCTCATTAAGGATTAACTCTTATTTCTTCTAATGTTACAGGCAGTTCTTTTGTTGAATTATTCTTATTTCATTTTCAGCCGTCCACATGACTCAATTTTTTAGATGGTAGAAACTACATTTTATAATTGTAGTTTAATAAGATTGTGCCCCAGCACTACAGTCTATTTGCTGTATGTGTGGGAATGCCCTTTTTTGATCCATAAATGGACAACAATGGACGATGATATGTCTATAGTGTGAATTATCTACCATGAATAAACTTGTGAAACATTTTTGTAGAAAATACGATAGCCAATGCTTCCTTTTCAATCTGACTGTATTTTTTTTTCAGCTGCTATTAATGATCTTGAAGAATGAGTTATTGGTTTAGTTCTTCTGTCCTCATATTTGTGTAGTATCACTGCTCCAATACCCAATTCACTTGCATTTATTGCAACCACAATCTCTAAATTAGAGTGAAAATGAGCTACCAATGATGTCGGATGTTAAGACATTTTGATCTCTTTTCAAAAGTGTGCTTTGACATTTATCTGAATAATCCTATTTAACATCTTTATTTAGCAAGTTATTCAACGATTCTGTTAATTTATGCATGTTTTGCATATACACATGATAGTAATTAGCTAACCCTAAAAATGCTTGTACCTTTGATACATTTTGGGGGTGAGCATGTCACTTATTGCACCCTTGAAGAATCTGTTCAGCTTCCATTCATGCCGATAATTTGTCCTACATATATTTCAATCTATTCATAAACAGTTCACACTTTTCTTCACTGATGTTAAAACCATAGTCTTTAATTCTTTCAAAACCTTTTTTCATATCTTTCATATGTGGGGTTTTGGGTTTCACTTTTTATAAGTACATCATCCAAATATACTTGTGCACAATCCAAACCAACAAGCATTATATCCATAATCTTTTGGGATATGCTTGGTGCTACATTTATACTGAAAGGAAGTACGTTAAATTTGTACAGTCCTTTATGAGTGTTAATTGTTAATACTTTAGAATATGCTTCATCTACTTGTAGGTAAGCATCCAAAAGATCCAATTTAGAAAAAACAATTACCACCATTTAATTTGGCAAAAATTTCCTGCGGACTTGATAACAGGTATTTATATTCTTTCAAACTTTCATTTGATCCTGTTGAAAAATCAGCACATACATAGATTTTATTATTTTTTTGCTTCACGTAAACTATTGGTGACGCCCATTTGGAATAACCTACTTTTGATATAACTACTAATTTTTCTAGTCTTTCTAATTCCTTATTAATAGGTTTTAATGCCATGAAAGGTACACTTCTTTTTGCTTTGACCAGTGTTACATTTTTTTTTTTACTTCAAATTTAGCTTTTGTTTTAGTGCATCTACCTACGACCTTCTGAAAAGACTTCTGGGAAAATTTTTTTTTAAATTCTTTCTTTAATTTTTCAGCTGTCATATTAGTACCACAGGTAACAACATTTATTGTTGCAGAATTAATTAATTGGAACATCCCAAAGATCAAATAATGCAATACAATCTCTTCCAAATAAATTAGCTGTATTTTTTTACCACAAACACAACTGCTTTTTAAGTTTTTCCAACAAAAAAAAAAAAACATTGCAGGTGAACTCAAACATAAAGTCTGATTTCTTCTATGTAACTCCATAAACAATTTTTTCAGAAGTTGCTAAACTGGGTTTACCCATTTTTCTCCATGTCTGTTCATTGATAATGGTGATATCAGACCCTGTATCCAGTTGTAGTTTTATTTTTACATTATTAATTTTAACAAAAACAAATTTTCACTTTTGAGATGTTTCTACCTCAGTTAAAGACATGTTCGATGAATTTTTCTTTGTAGTTTTTTCTTTAAGTTTTTTTTTTACTTTACACAAAGTATTTACCACATTCACATATGTCCTTGTATTTTTTTTGTATTTACAATGAGTAAATTTGTCTCCAATCTTCCTACATTCATAGCATTTTTTGTTCCTGAAAAATAATCACTTTTAAAATGCTTGCCACCAAAACCATGGCAAGCATTGGGTATTGATAAAGGTGTATAATCCTTGCAGTAGTGAGTTTCAGATTAACCATGCATTGACATACTTCAGTTATTTTCTGGAGAAATAATTTTGAATCCATCTCTAAATTAGACAGTATCTTAGCTCTTTTTTTCAGCATCCTTATTAGCAGTTAAGCCCTGTACAAATATTAGGCATTTGAATAAATCTGGTGTTAATTTATTCAATTTAAATTTCTCACATTCCTGGTTCACTATTCCAACATAAGTAACAAAATCTTGATTGTTATCCTTTACTAAGTTACTAAGGTAAATGTGTTTTAACTAGTGAGCACATATCACTGAAAATTTCTGACAGAATTCATACAATGTCATCAAAATTTATCTCACATTTTTTTTTGGTAAAATAAAATTCACATACTTTTCATGTTCTGCAGGTAAGACTGCGATGTAGCAAAAAGTGCTCAGTGGGTAGCATTGTATATTTACAGCTTTATTTGATCTTGGCCAGGTGGGTGCTTTTTCCCCTCCAGGTGAGTTTGGTTGGTGCATGAATAGCATGTACAAACCAACCATATTCTTTTTTTTCTTTTTTCCACCTTAGTCTTACCTGGGGGAATAAAAGTTTCCATATTTACTTTACAGCTGCCAACCACCTGATGACTGTGTAAAAGCAGGAAACTTACAATAACGGTCGGACACTGTATGCCTGAAATTTAATTTGTAATTTAGAAAAGCTCTGCTATTTTATATGGCATTGAACATTTTTCCAGTGTGCATTCATGGAAGACTGATTTTAAGAGCTGCTTATTTCTATATGTGTATATATATATATATATATATATATAAAAACACTCCAATTAATTTTCAGTATGTATGGAGGACATCTTTATCCATAAAATTCAATCAATGATAAATTGTTGTAACTTTTATTGCCTATTTTATGTAAAACGTTGTCTGCTTTTTCTGTTTTTTTCTTTTTTACATGGAACACCAGGCCAGAATGAATTAATTTTTCCAGGCTAATGTGAACCATAAAAAAAGATGAAGAAATGAGAGAAGTCAAAGAAGTTTTGAAGAAAACCAAAACGAAAGAAAGAGTGGGAATCAGTGTAGAGAAAGGCAGAGTAAGAGAAAGAGTAAGGGAAATAAGGTTAAGAAATAAAGAGGAAAAAGAGACACAAAAAAATTCAAAGTGAGTGTGAAGTGGAAAAATGTTGTGAAAGAGAAAAAAATGCAAAAAAGAAAGAAATTAAAACCAATAAAAATTGAAAGAAAAAAAGAAAAAATGATGGTAGAAAATGCAACTCTGAGTGGAAAGAAAAAGATAATGAATAATAATGAGCAGAATCAAGAGGTGAAAAGGAAAATAGAGAAAAGATGGAAAGGACAACAAAAATGTTTGAATAGAGAAAAAGATTATTATAGGATATAAAAAGAAAAAATAAGGACAATGAAAATTATCAGAGAGAGGGGAGAGAGAAAGACTGAAAATAAAAGTAAAGAAAGAGTATAAAGAAAAAAAGAAGAGAAGAACAAAAAAAGAACCAAGAAGAAAAAAAAAAAGAGTAAGCAAAATGGAAGGAAAATTTGTAAGGAAAAGCTAAAAGCCAAAAATTTACTTACATTATTTACATTATTCAGACTGTTATCCCCATCTTCACTGCCATTTTTACATTTTGGCTGTTGTATGCTCCAGCCTTCTTCAGGTGATTGGAATTTCAAACCGAACCCTTTATTTCGTCCACCAGGTTAGGCTGTTCTAGTTCCACATGCCATGCCTCTTCCAGATGTCTCAGTTTTTTCCCTTTAACTCAACTCTCCAAGTTTTTTTGGTTCACCACTACTGTAGCTGGTTATTGAACTCAGAACTCTTTGGGTCTAGTCAGTGGATCTAACTAATGCATGGCATGACATGTGGAAGTAGAACAATCTACCCCAGTGGATGAAATAAACGGTTTGGCTTGAAATTCCAATCACCTGAGGAAGGCCAGAGTGTATAACAGCTGAAATGTTATGAATATGGGAATGAAGATGACGATAACAGTCCAAATAATGTAAGTAATCCTAATACCTCATCTCAGTGTTATAGACAGAAATAAAAATCTAATAGTTGTAAATGAAATAAGATGAAAAAAAAGACGAATATTTAAAGTAACATGGTGTTTATTAGACAGGAAAGAGAAAGGAAAGAAATGATGATGAAGAAGATAAAAGTAAGATGCAATAAATGTAAAATTAAGGAAAGTAGAAAGACAGAGATCAAGCATAAATGAGGTCAAAAGAGAAAGAATAGAAAAAAGAAAATGGTGAAAAGGGAAAGAGAGAAAAACTAAATAGGAATAATAGAAAGAAAGAAATTAATAAATTAGTGAAAAAAGAAAAGAAAATGGAGAAAAAAAAGAAAAAATATGAAGGAAACAGCAAAGGTGGAAAGAAAGAGGTAAACTACAAAGAAAAATTGGGTTAAATAAAATTTGGCACCCCCCACAAAAAAAAACAAAGGCAGTAAAGTATATGAGAAGAAAATAAGAATTTTAAGTGGATTCTTTGAAATCCAAATGGTGATCCAAAAATTTTGGACTATAGTATAGAGTCATCCACAAACAGACTGTTTCACTGTATTACAGCTTCTCATCGTGACTAGATGTCCAATTGCTTCAAGCTGGGATTGAAACCTGACTGATATCTTACCCCTAGGTCATTGTCACACAGCAGAAAGGAAGGGAATTTTAATGTTTTTCTCTATATGAAATATGCCAGTGGCTCAATTCATACCTTAAGAGTAATGAATATACGAGGGTGGGGGGCAAAAGTAACCAGAATTGTGTCATATAATTTTATTCATTTATTGTTGCATGTTTATATTCTTATCACCTTCAAAGTATTCTCCATTTGAAGCAATGCACCAGTCCAGACGTGTTTTCCATTCTTCAAAGCAGTCCTGGAACTCTTGTGAAGTTATGTTTTTTAATGACTCTGTTGTTTTCTTCTTAACCTCTTCTGCATCTGCAAAACGTTTTTTTTTGAGGACTTTCTTCATATGGGGGAACCAAAAAAAGTTGCAGGGGGCGAGATCAGGTGAATAGAGAGAGTAGGGAAGTGGGGTCATGCCATTCTTGGTCAAAAACTGTCTCACACTCAAGGTGGTGTGTCCTGGCGCATTGTCGTGATGCAACCACCACCCTTCACTTTGCCACAGGTCAGGGCGTTTTCATCTCACCTTGTCTCACAAACACTGCAGGGCTTCCAAGTAAAAAAGCCTGGTTAGCAGTTTGACCAAGAGGAACAAATGCTTTGTGGAGAATTCCTTTCACATCAAAGAAAGAAATCAGCATCATCTTGACATTGGACTTCACTTGATGTGCTTTTTTGGGTTGTGGTGATGTTGGATGCTTCCACTGATTTGATTGCTGTTTCGTTTCCAGGTTATAGCCATAGCACCAGCTTTCATAACCAGTGATGACCTTTGAAAAAAGGTCAGAATCAATTTCCAACTGTTCTTTCAGTTTATGACAAGCATCCTTTCAGCTATGGTAAAAATAGTCAAAAAAGCATGAAGCACTTCAAAACAAATGTGAACAACAGAGTTGTACATCTTCCCACAATGACACCAGTTAGTACACTGATGCCTGAGGGTTGCCTTAAGTGGCATCTGGTGGTGGAAGCCTGAAATACTATGGGCTTGTCACACAGAAAACGATTCTGGTTACTTTTTGGTCCTCTCTCGTGTATATATATATATATATATATATATATATATATATATATATATATATATATATATATATGGTGTCTTTTGAGCTTTTCATTTATGCAGGTTTGGTTGAAGATGAAAGAAAAAAGATGTTTGTTCCTGGTTTTAAATAAAGAAACCAAAAGCAAGTTTGACAGAGTCAAGACATTACAATAGCTGTTCAGGTAAGTATATCTGTCTTAGTTTTTCCATTCTCTTTAAAGCGCTGACAATGACCATTTTTATTGGCCCCATTGAATATCAATTAGTTAATAAAACAATGTATGCTGATATCAACTTCGCAAATAAATGATGAATAAAAGTCTTCATTTTTTGCTTTTTCTCATGAAAAGCGAGAAAAATATAAACAAATGTTATAAAAAAAAGATAAAGACAAAAAGTCACTGAACTTTACAAAGTTTGTTTTCTCAAAGAGAAAATAATACTTGACAAATACAAAAGCTAATATCTTTCAATGGAGCAATAAAAAACCTCATTGGCTGCTGAAACCTAACATTATTTGTCTGCTTTTAATGTAAAAACTACTACTTTAGGACATGAAATATTGTCAAGTCTGATCAGTTTATGGTTTTTGGAACATAAATGACAGCCGTATGATGACAAAACTCAATCTGTATAAAAAGAGGCCATAAAATACTTAACAGCTTCTTTTCTTTGTTTGAATTAGATTCAATAGAGATATATTTATGGAGTTGGGCCTTCATTTTGAATCTTGCAAATTAGAGATTAGGAAAATTCTATTGTAACTGTTGTCTAAAGAGTCAACGTCTATTTTGATAACTATCATTTAAAATTTGGCACTGATATACTAACCACTGATCAAAAATATATACTTTTCTCGAGTATTTTCTTACAGTATATAGACATTTACTAAATTTATTTTAATTGGCCCAGAATAAAATAAGAGACAAGAAAATTGTTTTGCCCATCATTCAAGTGGAGACGACTTGACTACTTGTCTCCCATAAAAAACAGCTTTTGAAAGCAAGTCAATAAAAGCACTAAGACCCAAAGAGTTACTGAACATAAGAGAAACTGAGAAAATGTTATGGAGTAGAAAAGACAATAAAAAGCAGGATTCAAAAATACAAGATGACGACTGACATTACATTTAAATTTTTGAAGATTGTAGTTGATAGGAAAACAAGTAGACTATTATACATTTTTTTTTAGTGTAAAACAGAAGACAGTTCCATAGGCATGTGTAAGAGAAGAAACTATTAGAAGAGAATTTACCATTATATCTTGCAATTTCAACAGTAAAATGATAAGACCTAACTACTACTACTCTTAAATTCATGAAGTCAGGATGCAAAAGAGGAAAGCTCATAAGAATAATTACCTTGAAAATATTTATAGAAAAAGCACAAGGAAGCCATATTATGGCAGTGGGCACATGATTGAAGCTAAGATGGATTTTGTCAGGAATGACTCTTGGGTATTGCTTATCAATTGTTTACTGCAGAACAGCATCAATGCCCTGTTGATGGTGCTTCAAATATGCTGACTGCATCCTGGCAGAAGAGGAAGGCACTAAAAAATGGACCCCTAGGAATGTGGATACTTGAAATAAAACTTGACCAATGTTTACTTTTTTGATGCCAGTGTAAACTGGAACCTTGGTTCAACCATTTTGATTCTAATGTAAATTGAACTTGCATGTAAATTGGACAGTGCAATACTCTTAAGTCAACAGTAAACTGGACCATGGTCTACTTTGTTGACTCTCATATAAACTGGACCATGGTCTACTTTGTTGACTCTCATATAAACTGGACCATGATCTACTTTGTTGACTCTCATATAAACTGGACCATGATCTCACTTTATGAATATAATGTAAACCAGACATAGGTTTACCTTTTTCACTTTCATGTAAATTGAACCATGTCATACAACTCCCTCAGGTGAATTAATAGAATCTGTTGAATCTTTTGTATACCTAGGAAGCAAAATAAATTCTACTGAAAAAGATGTGAAAATTTAAATATCTAAAGCCTGGGCAACACTGAATAAAATTGATGTAATCTGAAAATTTGATTAACCAGACAACCTCAAATGAAGATTTTTTTGAGCCACTGTAGAGGCAATGTTAATGTTTGGTGCCACTGCCTGAACATTAACTTAAATCCTAGAGTCTAAGCTTGATCGAACCTACATTCAGATGCTGAGAGCTATAATTAACATCTCTTAAAGACAACATCTAACTAAATCACAGCTTGATAAAAGCATCCCTGATATTTCTACAATCTGAAACAAACAGAGAATCCACTTTGCAGGACACTGACAGGCAAATAAAACAAAAAAATTCAAGTAATCTACTGCTCTGGACACCAAGCTATGGCACAAGATCAGCTGATCACCCAGCAATGACCTACAGCTATGTTATGACACAGAATGCTACCATAATGACCTTCCAACCTTGATGCAGGACCTTAATGGTTGGCAAGATAGACTCGGGAATGTCTGAATTAGCTTGACTGAATAAATAAAAATATGTTTTTGACTCTAATGTAAACCAGACCTTGTTCTACCCTTTTCAATCTAATGTAAATCAGATATGTCTAATTTTGACTCAAGTGCAAACCAGGTTTTGCCTATGTTTTTGGTTCTAATACAAACTGTACCTATAACTCAATCATCAGCAGCAGGTTGATCAAGCTGAGCATTCCATGACATGCTGCTTCTATCCATCCCTGTCATCCGTTGCATTTGGAAGCTCATCCAATCTGCATCCTGTGTCTTCAATCAGATGGTCAATGTATATCTTCTTTGGTCGACCATGTGTTCATTTTTCATCGGATGGTATCAAGAGTAGAACATCTCCAGCTTGTTCTTCTTTGCTACACTAACAGTGACCAGCAAATCTTAGTCTTTTCTGGCGTATTAATTTGTTGATAGGAGGTATGTTGCCATAAAGCTCTTTCTTTGTTGGGTGAACCTTCCAGGATTTGTTTAGTGCTGCTTGAAGCACCATCTAACCTCTTTTCCAGTGTGGCTGTTAGTATCCAGGTTAAGGTGCCATATACAAGGATGGGCTCTACTGTAGCTCTGAAAAAGTTTCTCTTCAGTTTGTCCTGTAGATGTGATTTCCAGATTTTGTTTATTTCATTGAGTGCTCCCAGGCTTTTTTCCGTCTAATGTTGATATCATTCTCAGTGGAAGCAATATAGCTACCCAGGTATTTGAAGTTGATTACTTGCTTGATGTTTTCTCTGTTCAGACATTTTATGCCTGTCAATGTATCTTGATTGAGGCAGATGAACTCGATTTCACATGCACTGACATACAATCTAATCTCCTGGGTTACATTTTCAATGTTTTGAAGGGTCAATGTTACATCTCTTAGATAGTCACCCAGTATCACTAGGTCATCAGCATAGTCAGCATCAGTGGTCTTTTTGGATGGATAGTGTCTACTTTTTCATTTAGTGAGAGTGAAGCCAAGATACTTCTTATCTAGAGATTTTTCTCAGCACATAGTCAAGACAGATGATGAAGAGAAAAGGTGCAAGTGAAGGACTATATGTCTCCATCAGGTGAGTGTATTATGGAACAGGTGTTCTGATACAGCATCATAATGGCATCTACAGTTTCCTTAGGTATCCCATATGCAAGTAGTAGTTCTTTTATATTCCCATGATAAAGAAAGTTAAATGCCTTTGAGAAGTCAACAAACAGGAAGGTAGCTGGAAGGTCTTTGGATTGTATGGCTTCTAAGATTTGTCGAATGGTAAGAATCTGTCCTGACATTGAGCTTTTGGTGCAGAAGCCGTTTTGGTTTGACTGCATGATGAGTGATGAATGTCTTTGGATTTGTGTCATATATTGTTTTCAATAGCTGCAAATACATTTGCAATTGACACTCCATACAAGTGTGGGCAGTACTCTCTACCAGAGCAGTTGTGCCTTGCCAAAACATCTAACAGTAGTTAGCATGAATCGCCTCACCACTGGTATAAATTACTAAATTAATTTAATTATTGCTTCACCTACTCGTTTACTTAATTATTGCTTCACCTACTGATCCAACATCCTGCATTAATCTCTTCATATAACCTTGCATGGGTGGCTTAATGGGTACTGCGCCTTGCCAAAGGGCAACTCGTGATTTTGTCCGGCACTGCTTATTCAATATATTTACAGCTAGCCACTATATCTAGCGACCATTCCCCCATCCACACCACTATAACTACCTATCTAATAAGACGGTGTAACAAAATTTTGCCTTTTTTTGTATTTGGTTGGTAATTATTATTTCCAAATTGCTTTTGTCTAGAAATCAAAGGAAATGACGATTATTCTCTTCAAACTTTACTTTTGTGACCTGAACATCGATGTTTTGAAACTAAAATATTTTCCATTACATTCCAAATAGATCCAGTGCTGAGTTACAGAAGGAGAATTTTGTAGAAGTTTCAAGAATTTCTAGAATGTTCTGGCAACATCGATGGCAGTAAAATATAGGTAACATAAGATTAAGAGTTCACTTTACTTACACCTGTCCAAGTGCAGACAAGTCATCGTTAATAGATGTATTTGTCAGAGATGGCATCAAGGTGTCATAAGCATCCAGCAGATGCA